TGGCGTGACCCCGACGACCCTTTGAACCGAAGTCAAGCCACAGAAGGGCCGTGAGCCCCTGTTCTCAGACAACACTGACGGGCTTCCAGAGTAGAGGGTCCTTGGTGTTTAAGGTGGGGGAGGGGGCATGTATCGGGACCTCCCGCCACCTGACCCTTGAAACTGAAATAATGCAAGTCGCGCAGCCAAGAACGTGTCCCCCCAGAGCTGAGGGGGCAGGGATGAGGGTGGAACAGGGGAGAGGGGAGATTACACTGGGCAGTGAGGGGGAGGGGGGCTTCCAAGGGTGTTAATTGGTGGCAGCAGCTGAGGAAGGATTATCTGGGAGGCGATGCTGACTGTGATGGGCCCTCCACCGGGAAGGAGGGGGGGCTTTTCCCAGGAAGGCCCAGGGATGGGGGCGGGGGGGCGTGCTAATTAAGCCGCTTGCTCCCTAATCAGCTCCCTTCCAGACTTATGGCTCCGCCAGTCAGTTCCCTGACTCCTCTTTCCGTACAGGTTGTTGCCCGGTCCATTGTTGTTGTTGAAACACCGCCTGGTCCTGAAGCATCCTCACCATTGCTCTTATGTCGGAGCCCATGGTTACAGCCCCTGTGTCCCTCCACCGCGTCGAGGGCCTGCCCCTCCACTGCCCCTCCACTGCCCCAGGCTGGATGTCCTTCTCCAGGGACTGGTCTCTCCCGACAACGGGTCCAAAGGACGTGAGATGAAGTCTCACAATGGTTGCCTCAAAGGAGCGTGCTGGCTGCACTGATTCCAGGACAGACTTGTTTGTTCCTTTGGCAGTCTGTGGGACGTTCAGTAGTCTTCGCCAGCACCATCCTCAGAGGCACCAGTTCTTCTTCAATCTTCCTCCGGGGGCGCTTCGACTCCTGTCTCTTTCAGAGATGGCCACCAGAGTGGCCAATGTACTTGTCTGAGCTCACACAGCCGGCCAGCGATAAGTGGAATTTGTCCCTGATCCTATACCTGGGGGCTGTCCTGCCATCATGAGAGGGGGGCCCTGTGAAGATGGCAGATGTACGAGTGTGTGTGAGAATGTGTGGGTCGATGTGGATGTGAGAGTGTCTGTGTGAATGTGTGTGTGAGTGTGAGAGTGAGAATCTATGTGAATGTTCACATGTGAGTGTGAGTCTGTGGAAGCGTGAGCACGTGTATATGTGCGGGAGTATGGGAGTCTGTGTGACTATGGATGTGTGGGTATGTGTGACTCTGGGCCTGTATGAGTGCATGTGTGTGAGCTTGGACACGTGTGTAAATGTATTTATGTTGAGTGTGAGAGCCCGTGTGTCTGTGCATGTATGAGTGTATCTGTGTTTGTGTGTACTGTGAGTCTGTGCATGTACAAAGGTATATATGTGCATGTGTGAGCCTCAATGTGAATGCAAACATGGCTGAGTGGCTGTGCAAATATATGAGGTGAGTGTGCAGGTGAATGTGAAAAAAAATGTGAGAGCATGTGAAAATGTGAGTGTGTGCAAGCAGGAGAGGGACTATGTGTAGCTCTAAGCATCTGTGTCAACGTGTGTCTGTGCAAATGTATGATGGGAGTGTGAGTGAATGTGTGTGCCAAACGGGAGCATGTGAAAATGTGTGTGCATGTGTCAGCGTGTGTGTGTGAAAGTGTGTGTGTTGGTGCATTGGTGAGGCCCTTGTTCCTCCCTTGGGGAAGCTGGAACTTGGGCATCTGAATGAGGAAGGCAGAAATAAGAGGTTGCAAACTCGCTCTGACCCACTTCACACCCTGCAGAAGGGCTGCGATCTAATGACGTTAGCAAGTGTTGAGGAGGCTGTGGAGAAATGGGAACCCTTGTGCACAGCCAGTGGGAGTGTAAGATAGTGCATGACTACAGAAAACAATGTAGCATTCCCTCAAAAAGTTACGTATGGAAATGTTCACGGCGACACTATTCCTGCGAGCCCCAAACCAGAAACAATATAAACACCTACCAGCAGATGAATGGATTAGCAAAATGTAGCGTGTGCATACAACAGAATAATAATTGGGCTATCAAGTTGTCCACTCAACGCTTCAGAATTTTCCATGTGAACCATCCAAACGTCCATGGGAAATGCCACAGATGTCTCGCCCCTCCCCCTGCCCCACCCCATTATAACTTGGGAAGTTTCCTGCACTCCTACTTGGCTAAGAGTTCCTGGTGTTTGCAGCCTGTGGATACCTGCTGTTTCGTCCAATGGCTTTCTGCATCTGAGCTTGCTGGGCCTCAGTAGCTACTGTTCTGGGCTTGGTGTAAGCTGCTGTAGACACAGGATCAGTCTCAGCTGTCCCAGGGTCAGGGTCAGGGCCAGTAGTGGGTGGGGACTGGCTACTCATCTTGGCCTTGGGTCCAGGGGCCAGATGTTTGGGCTTAGTTGCCTGGCCAAGCAGGGATAGAGTGACCGGGTTATTAAGCACCCACTCCTTTGGGGCTGGCAGCGTGCAGCAGTGGGTGGAGGAACCTTGGGCCAGAGTGCCCAGCAGTGCACACCGTCCCCTCCGCCCCCACCACGCCCCCTGCAGCTCCAGTCTGCACGGAGAGCCAAGGAGCCTGAACTCCACGGCATCTGTAGTTTCTTTTTTTTTCTTTTTATTGGGGGTGGTGGTGCGTGGGGAGTGTGTGTGTGTGACCCTGAGGCAGGGTTCACCAGCTCCCACCTGGAAATGGCAAAGGTGGCATTCTCTTCCGAATCAGGGTGCCACCTTCTGAACCCCAGCAGAGGGTAGCAGGCAGAAGTCCCCCCTCAGCCCTCCTCCCCAGGGTGCGAGTCAGAAGTTATTTAAGTCTTCGGGGCTTAATAGGATCTGGGGGACGGGTAATGCTCCACGTGCTCCTTCGCCCATTGGCCGGGCGCACAGTCCATCCATCAGGACCCCCAGACGGCACCCCCACCCCCCACCCTCCCGCGAGTAACTGGACCCCACTGGCCTTTGCAGCCCGCGGGGCCGCCAACCTCCATGACCTTACTTGGCCTCTAAGTCAGGCTCCACTACAGAGAGAGAGGAGGAGGAAGAGGAGGAGAAGGTGGGGGGGGAGGAGGGGACAGATTCCTACCTGAGGCTGCAGCAGCCTGGATTGGAGTGGAAGGTCTTCCAAGCCAGGCCCCAATGGGCAGCCCAGCAAACAGAGGCACCGAGGAGGCAGCGAGAGCGCCAGCAGGACGTTCACATCACCGGGCTCTGGGTTTGAGTCCTGGCTGCACTGTGTGGCGCTGGGCAAGGGCCTTGCCCTCTCTGAGCCCCCGTCCTTCCTGAGATGGAGAACCACAGAGTTCCTCCCTAGACGTGCCTGCTGAGGACAGTCTATGTTGCTGGTTACCATCGAGTCGGTCGCAGCGCGTGGCGCCCCCTCGTGGGCGGAGTGGAAGTGCTCCACGGGACTCACAGGTCGAGATCTTTCACCAGCAAATGCCCACCCTCCCCTCCACCACCAACTCCTGTCGTGACTTCTGGGTGCACCGGAAACCCAACATTTTGGCTAGGAATGGAGCACGTGGGCATGTGGACCACCCAGGGACCCCTGGCGAGGGCTGATTGTCCATCCAGGTAGTAGCGGCAGCCAGGGAGAGCTGCGCTACACAATGCAGAGGGGACAGGATGGACAGATATAAGGTCTCACCGTCCTGTACATAACGGAGCCTTGGTGGCGCGGTGGTTACGCGTTGGGCTGTGATCCACATGGTCCGCAGTTCGAAGCCACCAGCAGCTCCGCCAATGAGAGATTGGGCTTTCTAAAATTGGGCTTTCTACTCCAGTAAGCAGTTCGTCTCAGACACCCCTGGGGGTCACTGTGAGTCAGCACGGACTCAATGGCGGTGGGCCTTGTACATAAGGAGCCTCATGCGCCACGACGACCGAACGCTGGAGGTTCAATCCCACCCGCAGCTCCATGGGAGGAAGACCTCCCCGGCAGGAAACAGGGTTGCTAGGAGCCAGGGTCAGCTTGACAACCACCCCCAACCCACCCCACACACACAACCACATCGATGGCTGGAGAAAGCTCATCCCTAAAGGTTAGCTAACTCCTCAGGTCCACCGGGGACCCGAAGTTCACCCCTTATGTGCTGAGCTAACAGTGGCTCCTCCAGCGGATGGGCGTGAAGCTGGAGCAACATTGTGTGTGCAAAGACCTCAGAGCAGAGCCTGACGCACTGAGCACGGGCGTAGCTACTGAGCACGGGCGTAGCTTAGTCATAATTATTATCGTGCACTGTGCATGCAAAAGGCATCCAGTGACCAGTCGTCCGTGTCAAGCTCTGTTCCCAAAGCAGCCAAGACTGCGTGTTCCTCTCGCTGTGGGCAGGGCTTATCTTCATCACCTTCGTCATCATCCTCATCCTTGTGATCATCCTCCCCATCGTCATCCCCATCATTGTCACCTGATCATGATTATTGTCATCTTCATTATCGTTACCACCTCATCATCCCCACCACCACCATTCTCACCACCATCATTCCCCTCACCATGATGCTCACCGTCCCCACCACCACCATCATCGTCAGCACCACCATCATCCCCATCCCCACCATCATCTCCATCCCCATCATCCCCACCATCCTCCTCCTCACCATGATGCTCACCGTCCCCACCACCACCATCATCGTCAGCACCACCATCATCCCCATCACCACCATCATCTCCATCCCCATCACCACCATCCTCCCCACCATCACCACCGTCCTCACCACCACCATCATTCTCACCATCACCACCACCACCACTATCACCACCATCCTCCTCCTCCCCATCACCACCGCCACCATCCTCCTCCTCCCCCTCATCACCATCATCAATATCACCATCGCCACGAACACCATTATCATCATGACCATCACCATCATCACCACCATCCCCCCCATCATCCTCATCATGATCACCATTATCACCACCACCACCACCACCACCACCATCGTCATCATCATCATCATTGCCACCTGGTTCTGTAACTGTGATGTTTGTAAATCAAATCACTCTTGTGAGTCTATGTAGGGTTCTCCTAGTGCCCCAGAATCCATCATTGGCATATTTTTATTTAGAGTTGTTGGTGTTAGTTGGTTTGGGTTGTAAGTGGCAAGAGTGGCATGGTGGGTATCAAACCCACCCACCCCCATCCCAGAGAGTCATACATCTCCCCTCAGGGGCCTCTCCTCCTCCTCTTGGGTGGTGGTAGTTGGTGAGGATGTGCTGGGGGCCCAGGCCACCTCGGCCAGTCTCTTCACAGCCTCACCCAGCTGACCCAGACCCTTGGTGGCCTCCATCAGTTGGGTCAGCCCCAGCCCCAAGGCCTGGCGCTCTTGTTGGTCTCGCTCTAGGACCTGGGTCAGCTGCTGCAGCTGGACACCCACGTCTCTCACAGCGGCCACCAGCTCCACCAGAGCAGGTGGCTCACAAGCCATGACCTTCACAGGAGGTGTGGGGACCACACATGGGCCAAGGGGGTCTGGGCTGTGACCAGGGGTAGATCCTATCGAGAGGCTGTCAGGGGAAGGCTGATCCCAGGGATGGGCCATGAGGTGGGGGTCAGGACTCACGGTGATGCCAGAGGCTGAGAGTGGGGTCTGTGTAGGTGGGGAGGTTAGCGTGGGGCTCTGGCTTCTAGGTGGTCTGAAGTCTTCAGTGGGCAGTGGGTCCCTGCTTGGGACTGGAGGAGGCTTGAAGGGGCTGGAAACTGAGGCTGGAGAAGGGCTGAGATTCTGCACCTGGAGTGTGGAGGGGTGAATGGCTCCTGTAGAGGTCAACTGGGGCAATAGGGTGGGCTTGACCACCGGTGCTGGAGTGGTAGAGGGAAACTCTGTCCCCAAAGAGGTTGGAAGGGACTTGGTGATCACAGAGCTTGTGATGGGGTCAGAAGTTGTGGTGGGAGAGGGGGTCATGGTGGGGCCAGCCCTAGGAGTGGTGGGGTGAGGGTGAGTAGTGGGGTGAGGGTGAGTGGTGGGGTGAGGGTTCACGGTGGAGTGAGGAATGGGGGTGAGGGTGTGAGGGGTGAAGAAGGGGTCTGGGGACCCAGAAGATCCTGAGGTGGTGGCAAGGTATGAGGTTGTGTCCAAGCCCGGGGTTGTGTGAGATTCTGGGATCTGCCTGGAGGTAAGGTGCTCGCTGGTCACCTCAGCAGGTGCTGATGGGTCAGAGGTTGGCTCTTTGGGCAGAGTGGGTGGTGAGGTGGGTGGGAGTTCTGGGATGAGGTCTGAAACCACAGTGGGGTCGGGAGTGGACAGAGCAAGGTTAGGAGGCGTGGACGGGGGGTCAGGGTTCATCCAGGAGGCAGGGTCAAGGGTTGGTGGGGAAGTGTCAGGAACGAAGGAGGTGATTTCGCGCCTGGAAGCTGTTGGCTCAGAGGTCACCTGGCGGGTGGAGTGAGGGGTCAGCGGCGGTCCTGGAGGCCTCGGGGAGGTGGGGGGAGTTGGGGGACGGGTGGGGGGCTCTGTCCTGACCACTGTGGGTCGCAGTCGGCGCTCCGGCCATGGCTTCTTCGCGAAGGAGCCTGCAGGAGGAGAGGAGGCAAACGACCAGAGGTCAGCCTGCCCCGCCCACCCGCGCCCCAAGGAACTGACACGTCAGGACGGACCGACCAATGGGAAAGCGCAGGGCCTCGTGACGTCACGGGTCGCCGGGCGACTTCACGCGGCCCTAGTGCCCCCCTCTCCGGCGCCTCAGCTGTGTCCAGGCGCCACCTGGTGTCCTTGGCTACGCCTGGTGTCCCTGGTGGGAGGTCGTGGGGCTTGAGGGTGCATTTCCAGTAGACCCTTTAGGTGACCGTTGGGACCCCATCGAGGAGTGTGGCGTCCATCGCTCTACCCTGGTCCCCACGTTCCAATCACATCGCTCACCTGTGTTACCTGGGACCCTTGGAGTGGGAACTCGGTCACCTGGGCTCCTGGTGGTACCAGTGAGACCAGATAGGTCTGTGGTAGGGGTCCCTTGGGCCAAGGCCTCTCTAGAAGATGTGTCCCACGTCCAGGAAAATTCATAATCGGCCTTGTCACCTTGAAAGAGAGAGAGAGGACTTCTGTGAAGGGGGGGTCCTCTTCAAGCCCACCCTTTTGGGGGCTCCAGCCCCAGCGCAGGCATCCCCCTCTCTCCCGCTGGTCTCTCCTCCCAGCCTTCCGTGTCCTTGGAGAGCCGATCAAGAGGCCTTTGTCTACCAAGAATCAAAACTGTGACCAAAGAAGATTAAGAATAAGGACACTGTTCTTTCAAGTCCCTGAAACACCCATCCTTGTTTTTAATGTAACTTTTGACAGGGGAAAAAAAACTGTACTCTCTTGTGACTTGTTAATACGACAGTTGTTAGACTATAAAGCTAGAGGCAAGATTACGAGACCCATAGATGTGGGAAACGAACACGGAGGGAAGTATGATGAGGACCATATCCCCTACCTTCTCACAGAGGGATCTGGAAAGCTGGTCTTCCACGGTAGGAAAGCCTCCACGTTGGTCAGTGAGAGGTAAAGTCCAAGTACATGATTGTGCTTTACGTATCATTCCCACAGATTCTCCCCTAACAGCCATGCTGCCTTCAAGTGAGCACAGGGTGGGGTCTATCTCCCTACAGAAGCAGACATGATCCTTTTGCTCTCTCTTCCTGCCGTGACACCCAACCCCCCTTGTACCTTCCCGCAATGCAGGTATGAGGTTCCTCACCTGTGAGCTCAGGGACCTAATGTAGACACCACCCACCTTGTGACGCATGTCACCACGGAAGATGCATGGCTTACGGCTACCTATAAATGTCCCAAGATAGGAAAGATGCTCTCTCTCCTCCCAGTTCCACATAGACCATCCAGAGGGGCTGAGGTGAGCATGCTACCATAACATGTGTCTGACTCCTTTCTTTTACTGTCTCCTATCTTTCTTATCCTTGATGGTTTTATTATCATCTTTATATATTATCGCTGAACATGTGTGCCTTCTGGCCCTTCTGTTGTTTGAGGCAGGTTTCCTCTGACTCATAGAGACAATGGTGGTTGTTGAGAATGGCCAACAGGTAGGATCTAATAGTAATAGTCTACTGATATGTACAGTAGGCAGTGTTGCGGACAGGCCTCAGGAGTCCATTTGACTCCTGGTGACTCTGTGTGACAGAGTGGAACTGCCCCATCGGGTTTTCCCAGCGGGAATCTTCATAGGAGCAGATGGTCAGATCTTTTTCTCCTGGTGATCAGCCTCTCGGTGACCATCCCAGTGCTTAACTGCTGGCCCACCGGAGATCTTTCACATCTTTATGAATGAACAGCTTGAAAAACTTCTTTAATGGAATAGAATGATGTTTTTAGGATTTTTTGTTGTGGTTGATGAAAACTCTTGAATAATCTCCATATGACAACGACTTTTTATTAAAATCTATATGCTTTTCCATTTTTCGGTATATAAAACTCAGGATTGGTAACCCTATTGGAACAGCAAGTAGAATAAGGGGCTCTGGGGGAGGAGGGGAGTACAGTTGGGGGGGCAGTAAAAGGGAGACGATGTTGAGGAGTCCATGTAGAAAAAGAATGTTTGAAAAAAATTAAAACGAAGACCAAAAAAGAATGTTTGGAAACTGATTGTGGTAGCAATTGTACAATTCTGTTTGATGTGATTGAAATACGGAGTGATAGGATATATGTATAAATCCCAACTAATAAACGAAAGAAAACTATGAAACATCAATTTTGTTATATATGTATATATATATATAAAATCTCCCAGAGCACCAACCAGCATGGCTCAACCTTCAGCCCAACACTAGACAGGTGTCCAGGGTGAACAGTAACTCCAGGGTGGTACCCACTCCTCAGACTAATCAGCCATCCTCAATCTAAAGACCAACCTTCACTCAGGGAGAAAGCGCAGAACACAGGAAAGGAGAGGCAAGAAGAACGACCGGAAGTGGGGACACACACACCCCCCATCCGGAAGGAAGTGCAGAGTGCTGTTGCACTATGGGAATTGCGATCAATGTCACAGATCAACCTGTGTACGGATTATTGTTGAATGGAAGGAAACCCATTGTGCTGTTAGCACTCCCTCAAATCACAACAAAGGGTTTTAAAGTTAGAAATACGTATATTCACATGTATAACATATATATATGTAAAATTTTATATGAAGCTTCCAGCTAAGACAAACAAGGAAGAAAGGCCTGGTGATCTACAACCGAAAAAGCATTCACTGAAAATCCCAGGGGAGCCCAGTTCTTCTGTGACCCACGTGGAGGTGCCGTGAGTCAGAAAACGAGATACGGGTACTATAATGGTAGTCTGTCATGACCGTCATAGAAAAAGAACACAGATCCTGCCCAGGGCTGGCGGTCTAGCAGAAGAGATTGGCAAAGCCCTGGGCCAGCAACACACATTTCCTCCTGTCCTTTGCTCAGGAGCAGCCCTGGTGGCAGGCACAGTGGTGACCAGTTGGGCTGAGAACCACAAGGTCAGCAGTTTGAATCCACCAGCCAGTCCACAGGAGAAAGGTGAAGCTTTCTACTCCTGTGGAGAGTTACCTGCTCAGAGGCCCACAGGAGCTGCTCTATAGTGTGTGTGTGTGTGAGGGGGTGTGTTTGTCTTTTGCATCTCTGAGAATACTGTCCCTCTTCACGTCTGCCTGTGCACGCCACACCAGCTCCTCTAGGAAGATTGGTTGGTGTTGTGCAGGGCGGTGGAGTCCGTTCCACCACGCATCCAGCTCACGCACACGAGGAGGAAACACTGCCCAGCCCCGTACCTTCCTTACAGTTACAGTCACTGCTATGTTTGGGGCTGGGGGGGCAGAGCTGTGCCAACCTCTCTCATCGAGGATCATCTCGTCCATCACGGACCCTTGATTTCCCAAGCACGATGTCCTTCTCAAGGGCTGGTCCTCCGGACCACACGCCAAAGGACATGGGACAAAGTCTCCGCTCTGGCTGGACGTCTCCCAATGCCAATCTGTTCTTTCTCCTGGGAGCGCATGGTTGACAGGGGCTTTGGTTGATATTCATTTAAATATTAGATCAGTGCAGCCTTCTTTGTCGGCGCCATCACTCCCAGGCGCCGGTGCTTCTGCATTCTTCCATTTGCCACCGTCCCACTTGCCCGTGCAGACCAGGCGACTGAGGGAGAACACCAGGGCTTGAGCCAAGGGCACCTACCTGACTTCTCAAAGTAACATTGTGCCTGGTGGTGCAGGGCTGAAGCCCTTGGCTGCTCACTGAAGAGGTTGATGGTTCGAACCCAGCAGCCACTCCGCAGGAAGAAGGCGAGGCAGTCTGCTTCGGGGAAGACTACAGCCTTGGAAGCCCCGTGGGACCGCTGGCCTCCATCCACAGGGTTGCTGTCAATCAATCGGGACTGACTCTGGCCTCCCCAGCTTGCATGCTCTGAATCAGCATGCCTTTCCCTGGCCGCCTGCAGCCTGGTTTTCATTTTCAATAAGCAACAACCCACAGTTTGTGGTTCTAAACAATTCCACACACAGTTTGCTCTTTGCAGGGAGACCTGAGGTCACCCAGCTTGTCTGATCCCTGCGGAATCACACTTGGAACCCACAGAGCCTGGCTCTGGAGCGCATGCTGACAACTCTTTCAGTCTACACAGTCTTCCTTCCGATTCAAGGGGGGAGCGGGGTTTCCAGGCAACCCGCGCCCTCACCCCCACACTGCCCCATACCAAGATCCTCGAATGCTCAGCCCCCTTGTATAAACGGACATAGTATTTGCATGTGACACAGCCTTGCTTGCTCCAAGTGCCCAGGCCTTGGAGTCCTGGGGAAATGAAGTTTAAGTACAGCAGCTCAGGGCAAGGGAAACAAAGCCCCTCATGCCTGGACCCACAGGCAACAGCATGATGGACGGAGGAAAGATGGAAGTGGGCAGGATTTCGTTTGGCTTGGATCACAGTGGACGCTCGGGGAAGCGGCAAGTTGAGAAGTCAAACAGGCATCACACGGAGGAAAGGCCTACACCAGACCTCGTTCATCCTGGGAAGCCCAAGGGTGTCACTTCCGGGGCACTCTCCGTCTCAGGGTGTGCACGCGAACGTTGGACCAGGAGTAAGGAGATGGCACAAGCACTGGTGCACTTGAATGACGATGCTGGCGGAGAATATTGAAAGTGCTGTGGACCGCCAGATGAACCAGTAGATTTGTCATGGGAAGAGTACCGCCTCGAGGGAGAGGGGGAGCTGACAGCAGTGAGGACTGTATAACCCCACTGGAGGGGAACGCATAACAGAACTGCAGGTGAACGGATACATTGGGTGGTGTAAGATACGGCAAACATTGTGTGTGTGTGTGTGTGTGTGTGTATTAAGGGTTCCCGGGGGGTCGGGGAGGAGAGGAAGGGGATAAAGGGGAGCTGATATCAAAGCATTCCAGAAGAAAGAAGATGTTTGAAACTGGACGGAGGCAGCAATTCCGCTTGATCCCATTGAAGACGGGTTGTTATAACATCTGTAAGAGTTCCCAAGTCAACGATTAAAAGAAAGAGACAAGTACAGCCTCCAGCCAGAACACTCTTTCTAAGCGAGGACAGTGAGACTTCACCTCAAGCGCTTTGGACATGTGGTTCAGAGAGAGCGGTCCCCGGGCCAGAGAAGGCCGTCCTGCTTGGTCAATGCCAAGGTCAGCAGAGCAGAGACGGAGTGACACAGTGGCTGCCCCAGCAGGCTGGAGCACAACAGTGATTGGGTGGCGCGGTGCTTTGTCCTCTTATGCCCCCAGCCCCCATGAGTTGGAACCTACTCTCTACACATCCTCCTGTGTGCCTCGAATCATCATTAGCTTACATGTAATACCTAATACAATCTAAGTGAGATGTAAATAGCATGTCATGATCTCTTGGAAGGATTGCGTTGGCCACTTACTTGCTCCCCACCCAGTAGGTTCTGTCCCGCCGGTTGGTGGGTTGGTTGATGGGTGGGTGGGATCGATCCGAATTTTCAGAACGCTAAGATAACTGAAGGCCCAAGAATTTGGAATGTGCAACCGGTGTGTGGAATCATCTAAAACGGAGTTCCAATCGTGGCTCCTGAATTGAAGTTAATCATCTATGAGCCTCATCTCTGCCCACAGCCCCATCCAAAATATGAGTGGTAGTGTGATCCTTAGGTTTATTGTGCCAACCTGTCCAATCAGAACATGTGGGCGGAGATTAATCAGGTCGCAGTTTGATTGGAGGGTAAAGAGATAAATGGTTCTGGTGGGCCCGCCCCTGTCTCTCTTGGTCCCCGGTGATCAGACCAGCGTGCTGCTGCTGTAGCTAGTTCTCAGCCTCAACTGTTTGCTGCACGACCTGTGGGGTAAGCCAACCCATGGATTGTGTCTCTCAAGCTCGAGCTTTGAGACCCGCTTTGCCACGCAGCTGGTGTGGACATTGCTTGAGCTTGAGGTTGGTGGATCCTGTCGCTGTGCTTGAGTTCCAGATCCAATCAGGACCTGCCTCGCTGCGCCTGGGAGCTACTGACCTCCCCTGGGGTCTGCTGTCTTCCGGCAGACTCTGCCTGTCTTGCCTGAGGGAAGACTCGTGTGCTTCCTCAACCTTGGACAGAAGCCTCCTCTGTGAGTCGCAGGACTTTCAGTCTATTAGCTCTTCCACGAAAGTGAGTTAAACTGAGCCCTCTGTACTGCTGCGTGGACTGATTAGCTATTATATTCCTTCTGGCTGTATAAACCTATCATAGATAGATAGATAGATAGATAGATAGATAGATAGATAGATAGATAGATAGATAGACAGATTCACAAGTGTCCTGCTTTTGTTTCTCTAGAGACCCCTGCCTAACACAGGTAGTTGCAAAA